TTCGATAGATTCGTGCACTTGCGGGTATTTTTAATTGGTTGTTTGCACATTAATTTGTGTCCTCTTAGGAATGCAACAGTGGCCAGGGACGAGTTGTCCAACCGAGGGACTGGGCTCACCAGCACGCACAGCAAAATCTTCAATACTCGTGCGCCTGTAACAAGTCCTACGCTCGCAAACTACCCCACTAAGGGTCTACGGTAACACCCTGTCAAGGGTGCCCGGGTTACAACATATCCAAACCATATCCACAATTTCTAATTCTAGAATCCGTAACCAAGGAAGCCCACACACCGGAAAATCCAACACCACGTGTGGGTATAGTAACTAGAGAAGGTACATATGATGGTGTACTTTGTAACCCTTACATGAATATTATACAAATAATATCCCTTTCCTTAATTAAAATTTTCCAAATATCTATTTATAGTATAGAAAATAAACTCTCAAGCATATATTCCATAAAGACCAAAGAATAATTCAAATAAAAACCAAAATTTGTTTACACATAATTTCTATAAAATACTAAATTTCACAATTAAAATAATAGACTTTCGTAAACAACCCTCTATCACCCAATCCATATACTTTAATAATAGTCATAATAATATTAAATAATAATAAACCCTTAGAGATCCCATATCCTCATCAACCCAAATTTAATCAATTTTCAATTAAAACTTATTTAAGCAAGAAATTTCCATAATAGTACACTTAAACACAAACCTCCACTCATTTCCTAATAATTATAGCCGAGCCCATGTCTCACTTTCACAACCCACCAATCAAGTATCCCATGCTCATCTATTCCATAATTTCAATTATCAAAATAATATCCAAGAATTTCATAAGATACTATAAACAATCTCATAATCCAAACACAATCAAAATAACTCAAATAACGGTCAAGACTCATTTACACGGTCGTTCTAGTACTTCCCGAAGATGAAACTAACTCGGAAGATTCATGGTCAACAATCGATGGTTAAACTGTCCAAACTTGGTCAACCGGGCCCATGGGGCCCACAACCTTCAATTTCTGATCCGAAAGTTCCTACAGGTTCAACATGGTTTACTAAACAAGTCCTGCAAATCGAATGGTCAAATCGCTCACGATCGCACGATCGAACAGTTACCGTTTAACCTAAACTTTGAAATATTGAACTGGAGCATCCAGCGCTCCGATTCATGATCCATGAAATCTTACACCATCTTAAAGATGCCTAGATCAAAATAAATGAAATTGGAGTCGATCCAACGGTCCGAACATATCGAACCCGGATAACGTCTAATATGTGATATCTAATCGACAGTCAAACAATAACCAAATTCACATTTGAGTATACCGTCGTGCTCAGGACGACATGGGAAACATTTCAGGACCCAAAGGCCCGCCATAGCGTGGCCCACGCGCCGCCCCACACACGTGGGTGCCTAGAGTAATTTCGACGATCGAAAAATCTCCAAACCGCGGGTCAAGACCTATACCTACGTGATTGGAACAATGAGTGGAGCAACTTTTGTTCTTGGACCATGGCCAAAAACTAACTGGAACTAGCCAAAAAGAATCCGAAACTGTCTGCCAAAAGTGGGTATTTTGAAATATCTGATAAACCTCAAAATTGATCTACAATACCTACATAAACAAATAGAGCATGATGAGGGGATGAATTTTCATACCTCACTCGACGGAATTGGCCATCGGAATCATCAGAAAATGGAAGAACATCGTCGAAAATCCCTTCAAATCGAGCTCACCGCCAACAAATCAAATCGGGTTTTGAGTGGGTTTTGTAGAGGAGGACAAGGTGAACATTTTTCGTGAAGGTGGCACGACCAACCGGTGCACGACGACGGCGTATAATGGCTCGTAAGTCAAAAAGTCACTTCTGATACAGTGATTGTGTCGAACTGCCAAGGAAGAAGAAGAAGGAAAAAGGCGGGAGAAGGAAGGAGAAAAATAAGAAAATTGGGGCAATTACTGTAGCGGGCATTGTTTGCTACAATACTAAATTTTAGAATTCCATTTACATCATTTTCGTTTTTAGACCTTTCCTCCTTCGTTACAACTCGGAATTGGGCGTGCCGCATGTCTACAAACTCGTATCGACAAGCTCTACGCAATGGTACCACTCATTTCCCCAAAATCCTTCCGGATCAAAAAGTGACCAAAGTGACCCTACACCCCAAGGGAAAAATTGTAATTTCACAATTTCATAAATTGAACAAAACGATTAAATTGGGTCAGGGGTGTTACAAGGTGGATGGTGAAATAGTACTGGGGTAGAAATATCAACATTATTTCTCATGCCTAGACTTTGAGCACTTCCACCCATTTGTCATGGTAAAAGGCAAGGGAAGGTAAGGGCAGTTCCTATTCACATGAGATATGAGGAGAGGAATTTATATGGATTTTGGTGTGAGAAGTGAAGAATATGGCTAGGTATTTATAGAAAAAAAAAAGTCTCAATTTCTCAACTTTTTGGTTTTTTTTTTCTTCAATATTTTTGGTATTTAAATTGGCCGCTGACGTCAACTTGGCCATGCAAGTCTTGTCTTTGGGTTTGCCTAGTTTCATGGGGCCCACTTCTTGCCATGAAAATTTTTCCTTTATAGTATTTCTACCCATTTGACATGGCAAAAGGTAAGAGGAGGCAAGGGCTGTTACTATTCATGTGAATAGTGCTTGTCATTGCAATTTTTTTGTTGGTTTTCCACTCATTGCTATGGCAACCCAAGGGCAACCAATATTCACATGAGATATGAGGAGAGGAATTTATATAGAGTTTTTTGACTAGGCTGGCCTTCACCGATGGAAATGCTCTTTTTGAGATTATTTTTGGAGTCTAGACCTCCTTTTATCATGACAAAAAGAAATAGGCGGAGCGGAAGTGCTCCTACCAAGCATGGAAAATCAATCCCAAATCCCATTTGCCCTGAACCAAACGCCCCTGAGAATTCATAAAATTAATCTGGCTGGAAAATTGGTCAACCTTACTCAAACTGGTTTATTTGACTTGGCTTCAAAGTTTACGTGCGAAAAGGAAACTTCTTGGATTGAAACTTACCTGTACATGCAATAGCCAGTGAAACCCAGCCAATACAACAACCGCGTTCTGGCAAAGTCGGTAACACGGTTTCTAACCAAGTCCAACTACGTGCACAAAATCTGCACCGTCCAAGCCCCTTCAAATCCGCGTCAAACAAATTTCTCAAAATCCAACGGTGATCTATTCGCCAAACTCTCCTCAGCCCTCCCCTATAAAACGCCCTCTCCCTTCTCTCCTTAAACCCATCCCGCGCTTCTCAATCTGCTTCTTAAACCCCCTCACTTTCTCTTTGTCTTCATTTTCTCTTCAACTCTCTCTACAATGGCTCGATCCAACGCTGTCGTTTTAGTGCTAATGGCTGCCCTCTTGTTGGCCTCAACAAGTGCACAATCCCCTGCATCTTCCCCAGCCAAGTCCCCTGCCTCTGCCCCTTCTCCTTTGAGCACTCCACCTGCCGCCGCTCCTTCTCCTTTGAGCACTCCACCAGCTGCTTCACCTTCTCCTTCGGGCACTCCACCCTCGACTGCTCCTTCTAAATCTCCCGTCACAGACTCTCCACCTTCTCCCCCATCGTCTTCCCCTGAATCTCCGGCCACCTCTCCCACATCTTCGGGATCGCCCGTCGAAGCTCCTACACCCAACGGTGCCGTTTTGAACAGGTTCTCCCTTGCCGGATCTGTTGCGGTTGGGGTTTTTGCTGTCGCCATGCTTATCTAAAGAGGGGAAGAATAGCGGGTGTTTTATGAATTTTTAATAATTTGTTTTCATTTACCATTTGATTAATTCATTCCTTTTGTATTTGTTGATATATATGGGGATATAAAGAGACACATTTTTTGTCATTTCATTGGTTATTGTCATGAGAATCTCAATCTAATTGTTTTCTGTTTATATTAAAAATATATATAATTTTGTGTTTGCAAATATATTTCTATGTCATTGGGTATGGTTATGAATTTTCAAGAATTGAAGATCAATCTTCATCCGTCTGAAAAATCTTGAAACTTTAGATTGAATGAATTAAAAAAACAGAGAGAAAGTTCACCCTGTATGAGAAAAACTTTAGTGATGAAACTTTAAAATTACAACCGGGTACATAAAGCCTGACCCTCGATTTATAGAATCATAAAATAGACGAACCTGAATAATATCAGGAGTACCTCAAACCAACTAAATAAATTCTCATTACAAGCTGGTAAAATTGTAGAAAATGGTAAAGGATAAAGAATTGAATTTTGATATAAGATTCAACCATCAATATGGGAGAAATCTTGCACAAGTTTGCCTCGCTAGAAATGGAAAATGAGATCTAGCACTTGAAAAGGAGCTTGAAAGTTCAAGATCTTGTGGAAGAAGTTATAGTCAAGCTAGTTTGTGGTGGGTTTAGTTAGACAAGTTATTGAATTGTGGCATAAGGGAGAGTTGGATTACATTTGTAGTTCCAAATGTTAGACAAGTTATTGAATTGGGCAAGATCATGCGGCATCAACTAGAGCCAGTATTTACTCTTGCCCAAAAAAGTATAATATCATGCCAGGTCCGTAGTGCTAACAATGAAACATTCGCAAATTATACAATTTATATATCATATACGAAATGTATTCTAAGGAGATTACATCAAATGTATTGGCTCTTAGGGCACATTTCTAACAGTTTGGTTCCTAGTTGAACAAAAGCTCTTTCTTTTGACATAAAAGAAAAGAAAGGAAAAAACAACATTAAAGCCCTATCCATGTATTATACTGCCCTGGATCACTCCGTAGTCCATGGACACTTCGTAATCCTATCCCTCTCCTTCAAGAGAAACTCTCATGTAACGGGATATCATTTTTTGTTATCTTCGGCTAATAACACAATGACACGTGAGATAATTTTTACACATGTCATGATATTATTAGCCGATGATAGCAAAACAGTGTTATTCCCGTTACCCCTCTCCGTCAGTTTCTTTTTACCATCTTTTTGTAGAATTCTAGCTTGGGTGCTTACACAATCTCCTTTTGTTCTGTTACTTGCCCTTTTGTGGGTGTGCAATGCATTCATTCTGTAACCCAAAGAAAGCTCTATCCATGTGTTTTAGGAAATAAATTCAAACCATTCTTTTCCTGTGCAAAAAGAGATTGCCAATCCTCATGTTCCTTCCTTTTTGACTTCGGTAATAAATTACTAGGTTTTGTTTTGGGTCAGTAAATTACTAGGTTATGTTGCAAAAAGCATTAGCACGTTAATGATGTTTCCAAGTCATTGGTCCCACCCCCAGATTTCCATCCTCTCCTGAATGGATCCCCACAATCCCCTTTCTTTTCTCCTCACTCAGGACAGGAGACCAACCTTCCATTTCTCGACTGTTACAAATCCACACAAACCCCAACATCACATCCAAGGGCCCACCTCTCGCAACCTAAACCCACGTGTTCGATCCAGATTAACAGACAACTGTACCTTAGTGGAGAACCACCAAAGCCAAAAAAGAAACAGACGAACGTTTTAAACTTCGAACCAAGTGGAGAACCACCAAAGCCAAAAAAGAAACAGACGAACGTTTTAAACTTCGAACCAGCCAGGAATCGTGTCTTCCGTGTCAATACACTCAACACCGTCGGATCTTCTTTAAGAGGATCCAACGGATGCAAAATAAAGACGCATTGACTGCTTTACACTCCTCCACTATATGTACTCTTTCTTTCTCTTTACTTTCATTTACAGGACCTTCCAGTACCTTCCATTTCTCTCTCTCTCTCTCTCTACAATGGCTTCTTCAGGCTCAACCCTCGTCGCTCTGATGCTCGTTGCACTGCTTGTGGGCCACACCATGGCGCAGTCTCCGGCTAAATCGCCGGCATTGTCTCCGACCAGATCGCCACCGGCTTCAGCTCCTTCTCCGTCGTCCGCCGCTCCATCGACGCCTAAGGTGAAATCTCCCCCCAGCCCTACTCCGTCGACCGCTGAGTCTCCAGCGAGTCCTCCTTCGTTGATCTCTTCTCCTCCATCTGAAGCGCCAGCGCCGTCGGAGAATGGTGCCGTTTTGAACAGACTTTCTGCCTCCGCGTCCGTGGTGATTGGCCTCTGCGCCGTCGTTTTGGTTATGTAGAAGAGTGAATTGGATATTTCGCTTTTGTTCTGAGCGTGTCTCGTGAGTCGTGATCTTTCGTTTTAATTTTTATTTATTTATTTTGGTTCTGGTTTCAGTTGCGTTGTTAAAACTTAAAACTTAATTGTGTG